CTTTCTCCGTTCTTATGCTCAGTCAAGCCAATGAGAGTTTCATCTGAGAGAGGACTGCAGGACTGGCCTCTACGGAAGCTCCCTGGGAAGATTCTGTCATGTTACGGGACCTGAGACTCCACGCCCCTTTCTGTTTTCATTCCCAGCGGTGCAACGCGGGTGTACAATCCTGCCCCGGGTGCAAGTGGAGAAGTCTGGTTTCTTCCTGGCACTCCCTTTGCACAGGTGTCAGTGACAGCACAAAGGGGCCCACTGTGTCAGGCTAGGGAAGACGCATGATAGACTCTACGCTGCCGCGAACGAAGAAGAAAGTGTACATTGGCTGAAATTCAGCAATTCGCATCCCTGTGCTGAGCCAACCGCAGTAATTCACAGCATGTGGTGGAACGGAGAACAGGCATGCCTGCTGCTGGTATGCAAACATAAACCCAGACTTTGGCTCAATTTCCACCAGCACCATTATTGTTGATCACATGCCCCACCCTACGGAGGTTGCTTGGTCAGGGCTGCTGGAATGTGATTTTCAAATTGCTTGGAAGTTTGGATTGAAGAGGCATCCAAACGACAGGACATTTCTCAGAACCATTAAAATAGCGTGGTTCTTGCAAAGCTGGACCAGAAATCAGTGTTGACAACTCTCACGATTTTATTGCCAATCTCATGATACTTGATATTTTTCTTCAAGTGCCAGCTCCTGGAGTCAAGTGATTTCATGAGAATCTCAGGTTTCATTTTAAAAAAGTAAGTTTCTAGCCCTCGTGATGGAGAACAAAGCTTGAAAACGTGGCCCGAGTGCAACTTAAGGCTCAAGAACTAGAAAGCTAAGAAGAAGAACCCCCAAATCTCAGATTGTTAATTCAATCTCATGATTAATTGGGGACCTGACTCATGATTTTCAAATGCTTGTGGTTGGCAACACTGAAATACTAGGACAGCCTGTGCTGTGATACTTCTTGTCCCAGATGGAACCAGGAAGTACAAATGTGTGGGAGAAAACAAGGTGAACATAATGCCTCAGTTGGAGTTTTGGGCAATGTTCTCATTTTATTTCTCAGCCATTTTCCACCATTCATATCAGACAACTGGGTCAAACGGCAATGCCTTTAAAATCGCTACCAGCTAGGGCCCTGATCCTGTAAACTGCAGGAGCATGCCAGTCAACCTGGCTCTTTTTATTTTGGCTTCTACAACATTTGCAGTCCCAAAACAGCAGAGTTTAGGGCTTCCCCTTTTCCACCTTTCTGCTGGCTTTCATTTGATCTGTCCTGGCAGCCCCTAAACTTGGTAAACTGTCGGGAGTAGGAAAAACAGGACAAAAAGTGAGTTTATTTTTCTTGTAGATTTCATCCAACTGCAGCGACTGCTTTGCTCCCAGATGGGCACTGTGGGCCAGATCCTCTGCAGGTGTAAAACAACATAGCTCCAGTGACTTCAGTGGCGTCTGGTTTACACCAGCTCCAAATCTGTCCTTTGGGATCCAATGAAACCTCCAAATACATTTTATATATTAAAAACATAGCATTAAAAACCAGCCCACATTAAAACCCTTCTGAGTAACATTGATTTTGTTTCAAAGGTAGACACATTATTGAACTATGTGCCCAGCTAACTATCGGTTAGCATTTCAAATAAGTCCTGGTGAATTGCATTTGTGTTTCCTAAAGGTTTCAGGTTTCCTAGCTGACAAGGGAATCATTGATGTAGATAAACCGGCACAGAATAAATTAATGGAAACACATTCGAAGATTGACAGATTCCATCTAACTTATTAGCATTCTTAGGATATTTTAATGTAGATAAGCGGCTTTGACCTTGGCCAATGTAGTATAATACTAATATGTAATTCCACCACCAATAGATAAATAATTAAATAAACAGACCCAGTGCACCTGCATCGAGTGACTGCAAATAGCAAAGAACAGAGAGGCTGAACCTTTCTTGCTTGATGGATTGTGACAGGAAGGTTTATTTCACAACAGTCAGCTGACATTCATGCTCTTAATGCTCTTTTTATTATTATGATAACTAGAAGGATGCTGTCAAGAGAAATGTCATCTGCTTTAAGATTGCAGTCCTTGCCTGTTACTAAGAATACCTGCAGTTATAAAAATGGATTTTTAAAAATCTCATGGACGTTTCACCATTTATGCTGGTTGTTCACTTTTTTCATCTCATTCACCTTGGGGGATTAGGGTCAGATTTTGCACATGATGAACTGGAGAGGCCACGAACTCCAGTGCAGGTGCACAAACCCCTGTACTGAAGTATGTGCACATTTGAAATACCTGACTCTGAAGACTGACTGGTCAGTTTCACTTTTGTTGCTAGTCAGTCTGGGGCAAGGCCCAGAGTCTTTCTCTGTGTTTGTATGGCCCCTAGCCCAGGGGAGCCTGGAGCCTGCATGGACCCTGGGTTCTGTTACCCTACAATTGATAAACAATATTAATAATGAGGTGGTTGTGTTTGGTTTCCTAAAAATGCAAGAGGACATTTAGGGTCAGATTCTCTACTGCCAGGAAGAGGTTGCCAGTATGAGAACACGGTATAACTGTGATTAGTATTTACAAGTATCACAGTATTGAACGGCATGTAATACCCAATCCAGTATGTCCCAGCAAATCAGTGAAATTGGATCCCATAAATTAAGCCTGCTTACCAGCCACACCTCTAATATTGGACACCCGCATGCGCTGGCCTAGTTTATTGGGAGCTCTTCTTTTTCTAATGCATAGCACAGCTTTCTCTGGCTCTAGAAAGCACGTTGGCTCAAATTGTGATCTCAGTTACACTGGCATAAATCCAGAGCAACTTCAGTGTATCCAGTGGAGTGATTCCAGATTCCCCTCAATGTAAATGAAAGCAGAATTGAGCCCATAGGGAGCTGGGAGGAGATCGTAGTTTTCAAATTGAATTCTGCTTGGAAAACAATATGGGTTCAAATGAATCATCTAGAAACCAAAATAGCTTTGCAAACCTCAAAAAACAGGATGAGAGGTTCACAGCACCTCCAATTCCTCAGCTTTCCCCAGCCCTGGTAAGACCCTCTTAGCAAGTGGGAGAGAAGTCTTGCTAAGTACTACCTGTGGAAGAGTCTCCTGCCAGGAGATATTAGATGCTGTAGTTGGTGCAGTAAACATGAACTTCTCTCACCGACCCCGGAGCCACCCAGAGCACTACTGGTGGGAGAACAATTTCTCAAATGTCTTTATAGCGACAGCACCACCTTGTGGCTTCTTACAGCTCCTGCCTTTGGTTTTGGTTTATTCACAGCCTTCTCTCCCTGCCAAGGAGACATTCTGGAGGATGTGACCCACCTTCCCAAACTCCCCCAACCACCGAAAACATGGGGATGGCTTATCATGGGGGGAGGGATCGCTCAGTGGTTTGAGCATTGGCCTGCTAAACCCAGGGTTGTGAGTTCAATCCTTGAGGGGGCCACTTAGGGATCTGGGGCAAAAATCTGTCTGGGGATTGGTCCTGCTTTGAGCAGCGGGTTGGACTAGATGACCTCCTGAGGTCCCTTCCAACCCTGATATTCTATGATTCCATGGACACACAGGCCCCTTTACACAACTCTGACAGAGTCAACTACATGCACACCCACTGGAAGGTCCCTTTACACAACCGGAACTGTGGAAGGGGCCTTACTGCAAATAATAGGAAGGAAGACTGGACACAGAGGACAAACACCATCTTTTATGTGCCTCCTACCATCTGGGGAGAATTAGCATGTGGTCATTTATTACACTAAGGTCTTTCTAGTGGGGGATGGACCTCAAAAGCTTTGTTTGTACCATCACCCCAAATAAATGGATGCTCATCAGAACCTCTTGGCTTCCATTCTGCTGACCTGGGCTCCCCCCGCAGTTACCCGGTACAGGATTCTTCTTCCTGTGCTCAAGGCAAACGTTTGTAGTAGAATTGCTGTGAGCTGCTAAACAATTGCCATGTTCCACTCCAGCCCTGGCTTATTTCAGTGGTGGGAAAAGTGATGAATGAAAACAGGGCCTGATTTTCTGAGGTGCTGGGTACCCACAATTCCAGGTGGGAGATGCAGGTGTACCTGAAAATCAGGCCCATAGTTTGTAGGATATTTTTTCCAGGATCCTTCAGCATGAACAGCACCTGAAAGGCAAGATAGTCTTTCATTCTTCTTATGCCCCATAGAAGCAAGAGTTAATGCTTCAGGAGAGCACTTCACGGAGCTAAGCACTCGCCACCTGACCCTGTCTGGAAGATCAAAGGCTTTGCCAATGCCTAGTAAAAGCAGGTTATCATGTAACACAAGGAGCCTCAGAGAGGGGGAACATGTTGGTGCTTGTCAGAAGGTCTGCAGTTTATTAAGAGTAGCACCGAATTTACTTTAACTGTGCTGGGCAGACCTGAAGCTCTAGGGAATGTCACTCCAGTCCACAACAACCACAATCACTTTCCAAAGCTCTGAGCAGCTGACGGACTGGATCTGTAGTTGTCTTTCCCTGGAGAGCGTCTTACTACGAGGGAGTGGTGCTGTGTGACTCTGCTGACCTGGTGTCTCATTGTCTAGTGGAATGTTGGCAGCAGTGCTGAAAGAAGTTACATGTGTGCAGGGAAACAGACATTATCCTATTAACCATTAGCAACCAGGTCCTCCTCCCGAATCCATTTAGTCACTGAGTAAACAGCACGGAGGGAGCACAGTACTAGATACAGAAAGCCATGAGGACAGTGCGCTCTTCAGAGCCTACATGGTTCCCTGGACATTAAGGGGACACTCTCAAGGTCAGAGGGACTGACGCGTTTCACTTGCATTGATTTTTATCTCATACTGGTCTGTGTGATACCTTATACACAGGGGCTTTATTTCCCCCCCAACAGCTTCACTACTTAGTCGAATTTTTCTTTTTGAATTAATGCCAGTGGGCCGGCACCGAGGAACAACCCAGCGATAACCAAAGCTTGCAAAGGCTCCCACTACGGAAACGACCCTGCGATAACAAACCAGCGTGTGAAGTCTCGCACTGAGCAACAGCACTACCATAACAAGTTGTGCGTACAGCCGCGCCCGCCGGAGCCACCCTACGCACGTGACTGTGGCAGGAAAATGATTGGTAAGGAAAATTACTGTCCTTTCCATCTAAAAAGGGGTTGGCGCTGAGAGACAAGAACTAGCTTTCTTTGTTTATTTTTTATGATGGAAAATATCGCCACGGTGTCTGTGTGGTTTTGAGGATGTGGGTGTTGTGAAATGCTCCCCGTACGTCTCTTGAATCCCTGTATGGAAGAGCCCCAGCTGCAAAAGCAGAGCGCTCAGCCCCACAGGGGAACAAGGGGCTCGTTATTTGATCAGCCTCGTTTTGACTCAGGGCAAGTTGAGCTCTTAAAGGCTGTTTTGTACCCCTGAGCTTGGTCTGAGCACCCTCCCATTTGCTTATTATCAATGGACAGTGGAACCAAGTGGAGAGATGGCTATAGTCCTTCAGCCCCCTAACATGATTAAATACAGGTTCATGAAACATTAACCCTTTGCTCTGGGACAGTGGAAACCGACAGCAGTGGCCACTGTGAATCTCAGAGCCCAGGTCGACTGACTGGAGCTCGCGGGGCTCAGGCGGCAGGGCTAAAAATAGCAGTGTCGATGCTCTCGCTCGGGCTGGATCTGAAACCTTGTGAGGGGCGAAGGGTCTCAGAGCCCAGGCTCCAGCCCGAGTCAGAATATCTACACGGCTATTTTTAGCCACGTAGCCCAAGTCCGTTGACCCACGCTCTGAGACTCACCGCTGTGGGGTTTTTTGCAGTGTAGACATACCCATGGAGAGCAACAAAAGCCAACGGACAGCAATGGCTTTTGGTTACTATTAGATGGAAACCTGTGATGTAGAGGCTCCGCAGCCTAGTTTTAATTCCCTAATTCCCATAGTCCCCTCTGCAGTGATGGTGGGGGGTGTAGTTAATGGAACTAATATTCAGCAGATTATTTGTTGCTTGTTGAAAAAAAAAATGAGGAATGAGAGCAGAGGCCGAGTTCCTGAGGAGGTGGATGGAGCTGAGAGAGGAGATGACCCTGGAAGGAGAGTCGATGGGGAACAGCTCTGAATCTGGCATTCAGCTCATGGAGAATAACTCACCATCCACCCCTGTGCACCCGGGCTGGAGAGAGCTTCACCTGGCAGCTTGGGACGGCAACGCCCACCTGATGAAGCAGCTACTGAGGCAGGGGGCAGTGATAGAGAGCAGGTGAGCCCCCTGGAGCCAGCTGTTCCCACTCTACCCCAGCTCTGTCTCACTCATTCGCTCTCTGTCTGTCTCGTGCTGAAATAAACACCCTGAGGTTTCATTTTTGTGCCCACACAGGGATGAGAATGGATGGACGCCCTTACACAGTGCCACGCTGAAGGGGTCCATCATGCTGGTGAAGTTCCTGGTGCAGCGCGGAGCCGTGGTCCATGCCACAGACAGAGCACACTACACCCCGCTGCACCATGCCTCTTGGAGTGGCCATACCCAAGTGGCTGAGTTTCTCCTGGCTCGGGGATCCCCAGCATCAGCCGTGACTAAAGGGGGCCTCACCCCACTTCACTGTGCAGCAGCCAGCGGTCACACCCTCATCGTGCAGTTGCTCCTACGGCAAGGCACAGATCCTGCCAGCGGGGACAACAACCAGTGGACGGCACTGCACTGGGCGACGGTGAACAGCCAGCTGCATATTATGGACTTGCTGATTTGCCAGGGTCTCTCCCCAGACCTGGGCAGTAACGGAGGCATCACAGCACTGCACATCGCGGCAGAGACGGGAAGAAGTGATGCTCTAAGGTTCTTGCTAGCCAAGGGTGCCAACATCAATGCTCAGGATGGGCTGGGGAGAACAGCACTTGCCATTGCATCCAATAATGGCAATCAAGAGGTAGGCCCCTAATATCCATTTTTCTTAAGGCACTGAATTCTGCAATATGCTCATGGCAATGGTTCATTATCAGTTGATTAGGGTCAGCAAGGTGGGAGAGATGACCACTGAAGTCTATCAATAATAATATGAATATTTAGCTCTTACATAGCACTTTTCATCCATAGATCTCAAAACACTTTACGACGAGGTCTGTATCATTATCCCCATTTTACAGATGGGGAAACTGAGGCACGGTGGGGGGAAGTGACCTGCCCAAGGTCTCCCCACAGGTCAGTGGCAGAGCTGGGAATAGAAGACAGGTCTCCTGAGTCCCAGTCCAGTGCTCACTTGGGACAATCCGAGATGACCAAAGATGCTGACTCAGACCCAGCCGTTCGGCTGTGAATGTTATGTCTGGGTTATCAACACTGACCGCTTTCTCTCTTGATTGTCCTCTGGGGTTCCAAAGTTCCACAAAGTGGAAAGATATGCCTGAAGAGATGCAGCTAGCTCCATTGACTGGTGGCTCGTATTGAACTATATGATCTCTGACACAATAGCACAATGGGCTTGGCTTCTCTATGCATGTTTAGGGAAAAGATACATCACAAAAACGTAAAGGACTCTACTTTCTAACAGCACCTTGGCTGAAGACAGATCCTATTCTGGTGATGGCATTCGATAGCTTGGGTGCCATTGGTAGTTTGTACAGGTGCACTACATGTACAGTTGCCTTTTCTAAGGAGGGACAGTAAATCAGCTGGAAATTCCCCCTGCCCTGCCCGACCCCCAGCTATCAGAACACAGGGGAGAATTCAATGCGTGACTTTAAAATAGGAGAATGAAATGGAAGAATTAAAAGGCAAATGCAAAGATAAAATGCAAATGAAACTTGGCACGGCACGCTCTAGGAATTATTTGGGGGGAGTTCTGTGGCCTGTGTTATACAGGAGATCAGACTAGATGATCTCAATGGTTCCTTCTGGCCATGGGATCTATAAATCTATGAAATTTATATTCACCAAGAAAAATAAATCTACTAGACTATGCCTCGCTGAGAATACTTCAAAAAGAAGCAGGAAGCTGCATTTACTGCTAAAAACACTGATTCACTAAAACTGAAATCCTGGCCCTACTAGGGTGACCAGACAGCAAATGTGAAAAATCGGGACAGGAGGTGGGGGGTTATAGGAGCCTCTATAAGAAAAAGACCCAAAAATCAGGACTGTCCCTATAAAATCAGAACATCCGGTCACCCTAGGCACTACTGAAGCCCTCAGAAGGAATTTCCAGTTGCTTGTCCCATGCCAAGACTTGAAGAGCAAAAAGTAATACTCATTTTAAGGCCCTGATCCTGCAGTGAGCTCTATATTGGCACAAGGGTCTCTGAGACTGCAAATGGCCACTGAAATTGCTGGAGGTTGCGCAGTGTGGGCCCGGTCCTACAAGATGCCGACCCACTCCTAAGAGGTGCTGAGTGCCCTCAACTCCTGTTGACTTGGAAATGAAAATAGCTGCTCGCAAGAGGTGCTCACGGTTTTGCAGGTTTGGGCTCAATATTCCAATGTATTGCAAGAAGGTGGAACGTATGCCCATTCGTTTGCATGGGGCCACACAACTGAACTCTCTTTTTCTTTTCCCAGATTACAGAGCTGTTGCTGAAAAGCAAAGCTGATGTGAACAAGAAGGACCACTACGGCTGCACGGCACTCCACAAGGCAGCAGCTGCGGGACACTTGGCCCTCGTCCACCTGCTGATTAAGACAGGAGCTGTTGCCAACATTAGGGACTGTCTGAATCTGACTCCGCTTCACAGAGCTGCCTGTCGTGGGCACAGCGAGGTAGCTAATTACCTTCTGGACCATGGAGCTGAGATCAATGCAGCCGGCTGGCTAAACAAAACCCCGCTGCACTTGGCTGTGGAAAAAAACCACTTCCTTTTAATGGAGCTGCTGCTGGGGAAGGGGGCAAGTCTGTCCCTCCGAACTCGCTGGCATGAAACGGCACAGGATCTAGCATCAGACAGGGTCCTACCTGCGGGCACTCCGTCCACTTCCCAGGAGAAGATGACAAGCTGCAATCCGGACCTGAACTAGATCCCAACTCGAGTACAGTTAGCTGGCGCTGAGAGGCATGAGAACAACTTTGTCCTTCAGTTTCCTCTGCTGCCATCTTGTGAAGAAGGATCAGACTTTCCCATCATTCCAGTATTAACCGATAAAGGGCCTGATTCTCATTTACATTGTTCTTGCAGTGTAACAGAACCTTAAAGGGGGTATAAATATACTGTATATCCATTGTAAGGCCCCTTTATACTGCTAGAGTGGTGTCACAGGGCCTTAGTATAAATGAGAATAAGGCTCTAATTTTTAAAAGGTTCTGTCTTTACCAATGTGCTGCTGTAATACGTATTTACTAGGGATGTGATTAAACCATCTTTGGGGATTCATTAGATACCAGATAATGTAGCCAGTGGATACTAAGATGAATCAGGGAGGTGGGGTGCGTGGTGCCCAAGGCGCAAGATGGGGTCCTGGAAAGGGTGGTCGGAGTAATGAAGCAGCAGAGGACACGGTAAGGGAGATTGGTAGAAGATCGGCCAGGCAGCGAGAAGAAGCAAGACCACACTTAAAATGGCCGCCGTCATCACATGGTGGTAGCCATTTGAAGTGCCTGAAATTCACTTACCATTTAGCTTGGGATGCAGAAGAAGGGCAAAATGGCCAGATCTGTGCTATTTACAATCACCCTATCTCTAGAATACACCTTTGTACATTAGAATAATCCTATGCTGATGTCATCTTTATATTCAGCCAGTGGCCATGTAATAAACCTGTATGCATAAAAGAAACAGTGAATCAACCGAGGAATTACCAGCTCTTGTAGCATAGGAAGCACTGAATCAGCAAAGCTGTCATCTAGGCCATAACTGCACCTGCTGCCTCCATATAGGGCCGGATTCCAAATGAATGCAGGATGTCATTTGTTTCCAAGTGGAAAAATAGCTCCAATGCTCCCAAGTAGTCACTTCCATGCCTGCAGCCAAAATCAAACCTGTACATTTTGAAGGCGGGTTGAAGACATGTAATAAAAATACGTCAACAGAAGTTCAATGAAAATAAGAATTAGGTCTTGGTTAAAGCTGGATGGATAATATTTGTCAAGTAATGGAACTATTCACTATTCCATGTTTTGCATTACTCAACTTTACAGCTGGTTGAGTGCAATATTTGATGAATAATACATGATCCGGACAATATTTTACTTGATAAATCGTATTATCCAGTATTTGAACAGCTCTCTTTTCAGTCTATAACCCCCACTGTGGACATTAACTCATGTTACAATAATAATTTTGCACTTCTATGGCTCCTTCTAACCAATGGTCTCAAAGCACTTTGTTATTTTTTACTATTATTCATTTACATAGCTCTTTCCAAGCACAGACTAAGACGTATTCCCTAGCCATTAGCTTGTACACCTCTACTCCGATATAATGCGGCCCGATATAACACGAATTTGGATAGAACGCGGTAAAGCAGCGCTCCAGGGGGGCGGGGCTGTGCACTCCGGCGGATCAAAGCAAGTTAGATATAATGCAGTTTCACCTATAATGCGGTAAGATTTTTTGGCTCCCAAGGACAGCATTATATCGGGGTAGAGGTGTATATAGTCTTAGGCTTTGTCCCTTTAGCTGGATTCACACGGGCAGATCCCTGCACTCACGCAGGACCCCCCAAAAGTCAGTGGGGTTCTCCACTGGTGCAGGGGTCCCATGCACAAAGCAGTTAGTAGGGCCTAGAATAGACATGTCAAAGCTTGGGCCAACAGTTCAGATGAGGAGAGATTGCTGGCAATGTGAACACCTTTAGAAGGTGTAAACTAGCAGTGTGCAGCAATCACAACAAAATTCTGTCGGGTCACCTACGTCCTTCCTACAGGCTCTTCTAGTGTAATCATCTCAGCAAAGTGAGCTTGGTCTTACATTGCCAGAAACCAAAAAGAGGCATGTCCCCCAGTCTGGGTGACTACATTCAGCACTGTAGGTGACTGGGGGATGCGACAAGGTAGCTTCCCAAGCATGGAGTAGGGATCCCTGCCTTCCTTCTATGCAACATGCCGGATTTACAGAATCCAATACTGCCTCATTATCTTCCCATCTGCAGGGAGAGAGGGACGCTAAACTGGAGATAACCCCTGCTGGCCAATGATCAGGTAGGAAGTCTACACAGTCATGAAAGGTTTCAGCTATGAAAAATTTGCACCTCCCAGACTGATTTTTCATTCATTTGCTTGTACCTATTCACCACTGTGACACTTTCCCACTGTGCCCAGAATCATAAGCCAATATTTTACTCATCTGCCTCAGCAAGGGAGAGTTTTGCTGGAGCTTAAACTGTGTGTTAGGGCCCAGCCACACCAGTCTGTCTGCCTCACCAGCAAACTCCTCGAGAGTCTGCCAGTCTTCACCTTGCCTTGCAGGTAACATTCAGTCAACCCCAGTCCCCGAACCCCTTGGACCATTCCTCTGCAGCATCCAACTCTTGTCACCAGATGACCACAGAAATACCAAGTCCACCATCTCGAAAGAGACAGAATACACCCTAGCTTGTTGGCACATCTGAGACTGCACACTACACTTGGTAATATAACAGCACTGAGTGACTTTATGGTAAAACTAAAATTAGTTTATTAATAAAGAGCAGAGGTTTACGTGATACTGAGCGGAGATAATAGAAACAGAAAGTGGTTACAAATAAAACAAAAGAAAACACGCTTTCTAGTGTCTAAAACTTAACAGTCTCAGGCAATTTCTCACCTACAGTCAGTTCTCAGCATCCTCAACCCACATGGTTGAGGAACCAGCTTTCACAGATTCCAAAAGTGCTGGCCCCTTTTGTGCCTTAAGTGATGGATAACCAAGGAGTCCCTTTGATTCCCTTTTACAGTCAGAAAACCTTTGAAATGTATTCTTTGAAAAATAAACGCAAAGTTCTTCTCCCCTGCTCATAGGTGCCAACTCCGTGGGTGATCTGGGGCTGGAGTACCCCCTAGCGTCTCCCACCCACCGGCAGGCCCGTGGATCAGCACCTCCCCATCTCTCCCAGCCCCTCCCGCCCGCTGTGAACAGCTGTTTCGCGGCATGCAGGAAGCTGGGGGGGAGGGGGAAGGAGCAAGGATGCGGTGCGCTCGGGGGAGGAACTGGGCAGGAAGAGGCGGGGTGGGGTTGGAGTAGGAAGAGGCAGGGTGGGGCCTTGGGGGAAGGGATGACGTGGGGGCGGGGCCTGGGGCAGAGCCAGGGGTCGAGCACCCCCCGGCACTTTGAAAAGTCGGCACCCGTGCCCCTGCTGCTTTTTCCTCTGGGTGCAGGCACCAAGCTCCTTCTTCCTCCTCTGGTCAATTCGCCTTCTCGTTTGCCTTGATCACTTTGTTTACCTTAGATGTATATGTACTTTTATTGTCCTTTTCTTGTAACCAGGCCATGAGGTTTTCTCATCTACCTGTTAGCCTGATCCATGAAGACAAGTAACCCACGATCCTTTGTTTATCAACTGCCTCCACGACATCTTGTAAGAACACATTTCCAGCACACGTACATAACTGTTTATACGCAACCCATACCCACATCACACAATGATATTCATGACCAGCATGTCACCATTTTCATGACACCTCACAAGAACGGTTTGGCTAAATATTCTGACAAGAGCGTGTTGGATGTACTGAGTTTGTCAGATCTGCTGGGATTTATGGTTACATAACAGTACGCCCTTTGCCAGTTGGCATAAAAGAGCTCTTCAGGGCACAACTACCTATGAAATCCGAACAAATGACAGAATGGAATAACTTCACCACTGAAATGCAACCACCCTTGGGGTAATGACTGCAGACATGGCACACAACATGCTGCACAACTGTGTATGTATATGCAGATAGGAGGAGAAATTTTGGCAGACACCAGGGCAAAAGTCTCATCTGATGTAGCCCCTATTTTAATATTACAAACATCTTATCTGCAATTTATATCTATGGTATACTGTATATCAATAATATTATGTACAGTATATCTAACCTATAAACTATATCTACATATATTACACAAAAAGTCCTAAGTTAAAAGAATAATATTAAGGTTGCACAGTCAAAAGTTAGGAAATGCCAGAATTAAGGCTGCTGGTGTAACCTTAATTCAGCCCCCTTGTGCAAATGCATTATGGGCTTCAATTACATTACCCATTTACTGTTTTTTCCACAAGACCCCTGCCTCATTCAGTGCACAGAATAGATGGTGCTCACTTAAAGAGCAGCTATTTCATATTTTGTTTTCTCCACATTTTTCAATGTGGTGGCTCCAGGCCTTTACTGCACACTATTCAAACCCTGTTCTGAAAACAGAATTATTAATTTCCTCATGGGCTTTTGTATGGTACTGTTGTGATAACCGGGCATATAAATTTACCCTAATTGTGAGTTCAACTGTGAAAAGTGAATAAAAGTTCAGAAAATGTCACAATAACCTATAAAAACAAATGTTGATGGGAAAAGGTGCAAAAGATATTTATGTACCAGCGACCCTGAATCTTGTTTAAGACTGTTTAATGTCGGACAGTGATTGGGTCATGTTAACACCTTTAACTCTTTGGGTCCATTTATTCCCTCTAAATTAATACAATAGCATCATCATAGCATCTGAGTGCTTTACAAACATTAATTTCCACAACACCCCTGGGAGATGAGGGCATGTTGTTATCTTCATTTTACAGAGGGGGAACTAAGGCACAAAGAGATTAAAGTCAAAAGTATCTACTAATTTTGGGTGCCCAGTTATTTGAGACACCTGGGACCTGATATTCCAGAATATTTAGCATTATGCAGCACTTTATATGTTCAAAGCACAGCTCCCATTGATTTCAGCTGCAGCTGTGAGAGTGGATTTTCGGGGAACAGCAAATGGCTCATCATTGGCTCAAAGGCCTTATTTCAAGTCCCTGCTCCAAAGCACGAGGACACTAGAGCGTCCTAAAGAAAAGTTTGTGGGAAAGTTTTTTTCCTCCTTCTCACAAACAGCTGAACTCTGTTGGCTACATTTTTTTTTTT